TACTTAAAGCAATACACAATCTACAGCTTTAGCAGCTCCTGGCTCTATATTAAGTGTTAACATTAAAAAAAAAAAATCCTGAACTTAGGTTTAAAAAGCTTACATACTTGGGTTCAAGAACAATTAAAGACTGTGAAGTTAATATAACAGAAAATTCTGGTCTACTAGCACAAAGGAGATGTATAAACACAATGACTACTTCCTTAGCAATACTGCTCTAATGAGGTATAATTGTTAAAAACTAAATCTAGCTTTTCAAAAAAGATGTTTGAGGAAGGTGGTGGGAAAGAATAATGGAGAATCCACTATTTCAACGTAATCTAAATATTTCACTGAGATTTAATTGTTGTTATTTTCCTTACTACTGATTTCCTCCCAAAACCTCATAAAGAGAAACCATAACCTAAATTTGGAGCAGTTCTAGACATTTAATATTAAACAACTCACCAGGAAATGGTAAGATTAGAACTACACAGTCAGAACCTAGAACCAAAAGTTTGAGGGTAAAGAAGTCACCAAATGTTAGTAATTGGGCAAGCGTCTTTCAGTCCTCAATATATTTTGTACTCCCTTAAACTCCTAAGTTCCTCCTTTTTTGGGGGAATGGGGGGTGGGGGAGGTATTGTTGTGATCATAAATACCAAATAAAATGGGCATTTCCACATCCATAGTAGAACAGAAAAAGCAGACTGTACCTGAAACTGTGAAGCTTCATTACATACAGCTTGCTTTTCTCTTATAAATACCTAATAAATTCAATATGTACCTTTCAAGGCTGTCCTGCTTGTCTTTGATGCTTTTGGGTCTCCTGTCTGCTCTCTTCTACGCATTTTTCTAATGATATTCTTCAATGATATCCTTTTCTTACTTTCTTTTCTTTTTCTTTGTAGAGGCTGCCCTATCCCATCCCCCCAACTGAAAGAAAGAAAGAAGGAAAGAAAGAAAGAGACAGTAAAAGACAGTAAGAGACAGGAAGGAAGGAAGGAAGAAGGAAGGAAGGAAGGAAGGAAGGAAGGAAGGAAGGAAGGAAGGAAGGAAGGAAGGAAGGAAGGAAGGAGGAAGGAGAGAGAGAGAGAGAGAGAGAGAGAGAGAGAGAGAGAGAGAGAGAAAGAAAGAAAGAAAGAAAGAAAGAAAGAAAGAAAGAAAGAAAGAAAGAAAGAAAGAAAGAAAGAAAGAAAGAAAAGCAGGAAGAGAAAGAAAGAAAAGAAGAAAGGAAGGAAGGAAGAAAATCCCTTGTAACTAATATACAGAGTTAAGGAAAACAACTCCGACACTGGCTCTGTCTGGAAATATATTTCATATTCTGCAGCTTGAGTCCACCAAGACCTCTTTGTTATGAGGCAAGTTAACATACTTCATCTTCAGTTGTCCAGAAGAACTACAGCTGGTTGCTGCACAGATCAAAATCCTGAAGTCTTTCAAAGTTATTTTTCTTCATAATGTTGTTGTTATTATGTAAATTGTTTTTTCCTGATTCTCCTCACCTCACTCTGTATCAATTCATATAAATCTTCCCAGGTTTCTCAGAAATTGTCCCATGAATAATTTCTTATGGTGCCATAATATAATCCCATTACATTCATAACTTGTCCAGCTATTCCCCAACTAATGGACAGACATCCCCTTAGTTTCCAGTTCTTTGCCATACCAAAAAGAGCTGCTAGAAATATTTCTGGGTCCTTTTCTTCTTTCTTTGCTTCTTTGTGATACCGGCCCTAGTAGTGGTTTCACTGGGTCAAAGGGTATACACAGTTTAATCAGCCAAGTCTTCTCCCTCTACTATCAAAAGAAGGTTGTAACTCAGATCTGAAATGGCTTAACTTAAGCTACTGGGTATTACTGAAAGAAAATGAGTATCCCATTCCGTGAATCTTATTACAGCAACAATAACTCCTCTGAAGTCTGCACCAACTGGAAATGGAGTTCAGACTGTGTTCAGGGTTCAGTGCAACTAGGCTGCCAGCAATGGCCTCCTCTCTGAAATGGTATACCTTTCCTAGAATAAGTCAACAGCCAGCTTTCTTAAATGAAAATCTTTCAATGCAAAGGATATTATCAACTGACTGGGTCATCATTACAAATAAAGTAGCGAAACCTGCAACAAGCCATATCTACTCCAAAAACAACAAAGTTCATCAGAAGCCTCATCAGTGTGTAAAACTGTGAGCTGCACTCAAATCAACCACAGCAGAACCCATCAGATTCCTGTGTAATACTCAAAAATGTTCTCCCTATATATGTCCATTGATTTTATACCTTGAAAGTTTCTTATATATCTGTATTTCAATATACTAACCCTGGGATAACAAAGCACAAAATTAAGTCTTAATTTTTCATAGTGAGTTTCAAAAGCTATACTTTTTTTTTGTTAAAGGGGGTTAAGTGACTTGCCCAGGGTCACACAAGCCAGTAAGTGTCATGTGTCTGAGGCTGGATTTGAACTAGGGTCCTCCTGAATCCAGGGCCAATGCTCTATCCACTGTACCACCTAGCTGCCCCCTCAAAAGCTATACTTTTGAAAGAACCCTGAAAAGCCATAAAATCACAAATCCATGCAAGTCTTGAAAACGACAAAAGAAAAGTTGGAAACAACTGTTATCAGCCTGCATCCCCATGCCCCCAAATCTCCCACACAACCAGAAATGTTTTCACTTCACTTAACTATATACATCCTGAAATTCCACCAATTAAAGATTAATTTGGGTTAACAAACATCCTTTTTCAAATTTGCAAATGCCTCAGGGAGGCAGGGTTAAGTGGCTATACAATCATTCACATGTTAGTGTGACAATTCAATCCAATTGCTTTCCTCTAATCAAGAGACATCAACTAGCTAGGAAGGAACAGAAACTTTAACTATGGTAACTGGACTTTGGGAAAGCTGAAAGATAGCCTTGGCTTCTGGGGCAGGCACAGCAAAAATTAAGGCCCAAAAAGTGAGGTGCCAAGGAGAAATGTTTACCTGTTTCAAAGACTTGACAGGCAGATTAGTGCTAGGGGGAAGAGTTGGAAACTCCTCTTCCCTATGTACTACATGGTCCCCCTCAAACCAACCAATTAAGTATCTTTTCCACTATGAGTCTAGGAACCTAAGGATCACAACACTGGTTAAGAGATCCAGAGACTGCTTTTATATATCATTTCAATGTAAAAAAAAATAATTCTGTTGGACAATTTTGATTTTAAAAATTTCAAAAAGTTATCTTTCAATCTTAATTCACAAGAGTTCAATACATCAACAACAAATGCTTATTATGAGCTTACTATGTTCAAGGCTCTGGAATTAACCACACAAAACAATACAAAAAAATTGTTCCTACCCTCAAGAAGCTTACATTTTACTTAATTACAACTTCAAAGCAAATAACCTGTCCATCAAAAAAAATGAAATATCCTAGAAGTTATTTTCCCAACACAAATAATTAGAAAGTGAAATTAAAAACTCTCCTGTAAATTTTATGTACTGGAAATTAAAACTGATCTCAAAAATGTTCCCTAAGAGTGAAAATATTTCCAGCAACATTTCTTAACTCCTTTGAAAATACAGTAGCGGTATAAAAGACTGTTACAAGTCATTCTACTAAGGTAAAAAACGTTCTGAAGCACTGAATATCATCCAATGATTAAAGACACCATCCAAAGCCAGAACCTAAGTTGGAGCATATATTTTTTTTTCATTTCACTGCTCAGATAACACTTTTCTTTTAAGTAGAAAGAACCCTTTGGTTCTTCACACTCTCTTTACAACTTCGGTGGTTGCTGAGACGTAATCTGATTGATCATGACATTCTTACACATCAAATATGAACATGCTTTTCAGTTTTCAGTGCAAATTTCTAGAAAATTTCCGTTTTCTGAAGTTCCCCGTGGAAGATGCACCAGCCAACTTCTGCCAGCTGTAGAACAGGTGAACACAAAGGGACTGACTGCCTGCAAGTCAACATACAACCCCGGCACTTGGGTTCAAGAATCACGATCTTTTAAATCTCTGCCCAGATGAATTCTTTTGACTTTGACCTCATAGTATGCATACTAAGAGGCCGACAACCTAAACAAAAAGTTAATCTTGAAGACGAACTCGAGGCACTGAAGGATTCAACAAGCAAACCTTGGAGACTCCTTCCCTCCCCCCAAACTCAGCCAGCCTCTGCCATAGAAGGAATTGAAAATAACTGGGGCCCACACAAAGTGGCTCCAATTGCAGAGGCCAGACAGAGGAACTAGGTGATGGGGGGGGGGGGAACAGTCATGTCTGAAGTGAGGGGAAGGGGGATTCTGAGAAGGAAACCTGGAAGGAGACAGAATGAAGAGGCTTTGGGGAGCAGAGAAACACAGGAGGACAATGGAGGTCTGGCTTCACGGACCAGCTAAAATTAAGCTGGGGTGGGGGGGAGTAAGGAAGCCAATGGTCAGGAGGTTTGGGCCAAGTGTCTAAGGAGGTCAGTTTGGGAGATGTACAGCGCAGGGGGAGGGATCTGACAAGGAGGGATTAAAGGGAGGCGGGGGGGGGGTTAAGGGAGCAGGCTAAAGGCAAAGGAAAGGAGGGTACATGATGGGGAGGAGGAGGGGGACACTGGAAGCCAGCAAGGTGAAGGGAGGGGGGAGGGAGAGCTGGATGAAGGGGTCAGTGTGTGGGGCGGAAGCAGGGGGGCCGGCAGGGGGATAAGGGGACTGCGGGTGATTAGGGCAGAGGCTGAGAACGAAGGAGGGGGCTTGTCGAGGGTCCTGGGGGAGGGACCAGTAGGGGGCTGAGGGGTACAGCGGGGAAGCGGGGCGGCAGGGGCTGACGGGGTCTGGGGAAGGGGGGCAGCTGACAGGTGGGGCGCTACAGCCCTAAAAGGAAGTCGGGGGGCTGCCTTAGGGGGTCGATGAGGGGGAAGAAGCATGGGGGAGGGGCGGGGAGCGGGTGCAGCTCGGCGGCTCAGGCCCCTCCGGCCCCGCGGCCTCGCGTGAGCGCGCGCCCCGGCCCGCACCCCAACTTCCCTCGGCGGCGGACTCACCGAGGGCGCGGGGGGCTCATCCTTCCTGCCGAGGGCCGGGCGGCCGGACTCCTGGGGCCCTCCCCGGCCACCGCCGCCGCCGCCGCCGCCGCCGCCCTCCCCCCCGGGCCTCCGCGACCTCTCGGGCCGGCAAGGCTCGGGCTCCGGCTGCGGGGCGCGCTCCGGCTGGGGCGGTGCGGGCGCGGGCGGGTGCTGGTGCGGCTGGCGCGGCGCAGCGCCTCTGAGGCGTCACTCCCGCTCCTCTCGTCGTCTCTCCCGGCTCCCTCCCTCTCTCTCTCCCTCTCCCCGCGCTGCGCGAGGAGGAGGCGGCGGCGGCGGCGGATTCCAATCAGTGCAGCCGCGGCCCAGACGAGGCTCGGGACGGCGGGGGAGGAGGAGGGGCTGGACCCGCGGGGGGGAGGGGAGGTGCTCGAGAAGGGGGCGGGGCGTCGAGGGGCGGGGCCACCTCCGGGCTCCGCACGCACGCACGCGCCCCCACGCTCCTGCGCAGACCCCGCCCCGCCCTTCGCATCCGGGGAGTCGGAAGGAGACGAGCGAGCGTCGGCGGAGGCGCCCGAGGGGTCCGAGGAAGCTCCTCTCCCCCCTCCCTGCCCCCCGGCCGGAGTCGGCCTGGGGGGAGCCTCGTGCTGGGAGCCTCCCAGCCTCGCCACGGCGTCTGGGGTCTGGCACACAGCAGGCGCTTAATCAATGCTGGTTGGCCGCGCCCACCCGTTTCTAGACCCTCTACTGCTATTTCACAGAAAGATACGGAAGTTAGGGTTGTTGCTGTCTGCACTGTGGGAGGGAATTCCCACACCGACAAGATCCTCCTCGATCTCTAAGAAGTGCACGGAATCTAAAGTTTGATCTGAAATCCCTCTTTCTGCTGGAAACCCTTGTGACTCCTTCCCCCTTGATTATCTCCAGTCATCCCATATCTCTCGTTTGTAAACAGCTCCTTCCCAAGAGCTCCCCAAGACCCCACGGGTCTGCCTCTAGGCCGGGACGCTACCCCATGTCCCTTGGCTCCCCTCCAGCCCCCCAAGACGTTGGCGACCCCTCTCCCCCAGCACAGATGCCTTGGCGTCCTGGACCTGGCCTCACCTCGTGTCCCCTTTCATCCATGCCCGGCTCCCTGCATTCCTGTGCACGGGGAAGCTACCTGCATATCTTCCACCCCGCCCCAGCCCCAGCTCAAAAACCTTCACAGACTATCGAGGGGTTTTATCTCCTAATCTAAAACACAAATAGTTCGTCTAAACCAGTGGGCCTCCCCCACCCCCCGCCCCGAACTTAGAGGAGATAATGCATCTTTTTCCTTCTCTGACCTAGTCTCTTCCCGCCCATCGGGAAGAAATGAAAAGGGAAAGAGATGGAGGGTTGGGGGAGGGGAAGGGGAAGGGGAAGGAGAGGGGCGTGTTTTAGGCCACTGGCAAATGGAGGGGAGTACCAGTCAGCCCAACCGCAGTCCAGTTGGTCAACTCCAAGTTCTCCCGGCTTCGGGCTGGAGCAAGGTTTAATGTTTTCTATGCCCTTCTCTGTACCTCCTTCCCAAGAAGTCAACCTGTGGACGGTTTCCAAAAATGCCACTTTGCAAAGGCTAGGAGGTGAGATTCGATACGATCTACCGGCTTCTTCCAGCCTCCACTTTAACGCAACACACATTTATTAAACACTCACCGCTACCAGGCCCCTGTAGTCAATGCAGGTCGTAATACATGATAGCATTGGTAGCTGTAGAGCTGAAAGAGATCGTGGAAATCAGGTCTAATGCCCTTCATTTACAAATGAAGTGTTGGGCGGTCCGGGTTTGCCAGACGGCACCCTGGTGTGACTACAGTACTTCAGGTACTGAGTATCCCTGTAGAACTGGGATTTGAACCCGGCCCCTCTAAATCCCGTATTCCTTCCATTAAACCACACTGATAAGCGCCCGAGAGAAAAGGTGTATCTAAGTGCCTCCAGAGGACTGGACGAGGTTGGGGAGATGTCCTAATGAACCGGAGGTGGTCAGCCATCATAGATTTCCACCGGACAGGTACCTTTTGGTCGTCAGATCCAGACCTCCTCATCTTAAAGCTGAGGAAACTGAGGCCCAGAGAAGTCATGTTGAGGAAGGCTTCCTGGAAAAGGAAGAAGAGGTAAGGAACAGAGCACCGAGACAAAAAGTGCTAGGAGGGCTCTGCCCTACACTTTACCCCGGGCTACTCCCCTCTACCCTCAATTTGTGGTCTCTCCACCTTTCCTAACTTGAACCTCACACAACGTCTGGGCTGGAGTGAGCATAAAGAGACAGTAACACTCCTTTTTGATTTGAGTTTAAATCCTGCCTCAGACACAAGTGATCCTGGGCAAGTTATTTAACCTCTCATTGCCTCAGTTTCCACATCTGTAAAACAGAAATAATAGCAGCTACACCTCAAGGTTGTTGTGAGGATAAAATTAGATAGCATGTATAGCATGCAAACGTTCAAACACTATAAATCCTGGAGGGGGGGTTGTTTTTGTTTTCTTGTTTTTTTAGTTATTCAAAAGGTTTGAAAAACTTCCCACTTTCTTTTATCCCTCTTATTTTGAGCGACTATAAGTTACACAGTAGGTGAAGGCCTGTGGGTGGAAAGTTTCCTTCCTCTAGAGTTCTCTATATCACAGGTCCATCCCTATCCCTTTAAGCATTGTGGTTAAGAGGATAGCCCTAAGGCCACTTAACCATTGTAAGGCTTATTTCCTTAATGAGAGTAAATCTGGAGGTCTGTGACCTTAATTGTAGAAACTTCCCCCAGGATAGGAAGCTGTCAACCCAATTTATCGGTGCTTAGTCCATACTAAAGACATTTGATTTGAATACACATCGCTGGGCTCTTATCTTGAGTATTTTTAGTCCTTAACAATTGGATGAAGTGTGAAATCAACTAAAACTGAAAGAATTAATCCCCTGATGCTGGATTGGCTAGTAGTTCCCAGGGTGGGAACACCCTGTGCCCTAACAGGAATTTCAAGAGGCTCAGAGAGGTTTGGGATTTGCTATGGTCACACAGCTAGTCTGGGGTAGGAGTGGAGCTCAGTTCTTCCGGTCTCCTGCTCCATCTTTCCAACCACGCTAATAAAAATAATTTGATTCATTTCTTCCAGAGCAGCAATCAGTAAGACAGCTAAACCTCTCCACCGCCTACCTACTCTCTCAATCCTTTCTTTAGTGCATCCCCTAATAAGAAAATTTTGGACACCTAGGTGACTCATTAGCAGTAAATTAGGACATTGTTTTTATGCTTTTCTAGATGTGATTAAAGTCAGGCATAGATAAATAGACTGAATTCCAAAGGAGTAAGGAAAGAAACTACCACATAGCTTGATGGTTAGACTTGTGGGCTGGGAATAATAGGTTGAGACTGTTTATTTTCTGTCCCTATCTCTACTCCTGACTCATTTCTGGGATCTGTCAAATAAGCTCACCTCTGTGATCTCAGTTCCTTCATTTGTAAACTGTAAAGAATTGCTACTTCTCTTTAAGAGGCATTGTACAATTACTCCATTAAGATCTATGTGGAAGGTGCCTTGTGCCGTCATCAAAAAAGTCATCTGCTCGTGGTGGGGGAGAGGAGAAGACTTGTGACTTGAAAGATTTTCTAAGAGAGTGCTCTATATTCTTAAGTTAAACCTTTTCTATATACAAAATCATTTTTTAAGACGAAGTATTCAGACTCCTCATTAGAAGGACAAATACTGAAGCTTCTGAAGCTGAAATACTTTGGCCACAGGATGAGAAGACAGGGCTCCGTGGAAAAGACTTTCATATTGGGAAAGACTGAAGGCAAAAGGAGAAGGGGATGACAGAGGATGAGATGGATAGGTAGTGTCATAGGAGTAACAAACATAATCTTGGACAGACTTCTAGACACAAAGGAGGATAGAAGGGCCTGGTATGCTATGGTCCATGGGTCACGAGAGGACAGGACTGAACAACAACAGGGACTTGGTATGTGGAAGATCTGTGTTTAAAGCCCATCTTTGGTATTTAGGAACTGTGACACCATGGGCAAGTCACTTAACCCCACCTAAGCCTCAGTTTCCTCATTTATAAAAACAGGGGACAAGATGGCCTTTTAGGTCCTCTTGACTCTAAAATTATGATCCTATGAACTAATTTTCAGAAAAAGGAAACTATATCACTTAATTTTTCACATTATTAAAATGTTGAATACCAAACCATTTTCTTGCTTAATATACTGGTCAATTAGACCTTAATCACTTCTCCCCTGACCAACAAAATAACCCTCTGCCTCTAGTCTCCCCAGTCCATCCTCCACACTATTAAAGGGATATTCTTAAAGCACAGGCCCCAGTTACATCACTCCTCTGTTTGAAAAGCTAGGATAAAATACAAACTCCCCTGTTTGACATTCCTTCTCAAACTGGCTCCCAGACTTGCCAGATTTCATATTTCTCCTCGTCCATTTCAGCCTACTTTCTGTTCCCAAAGTCCGTTTGCACAAGCTCTCTCTCATGCCTGGAATATATACCTCATACCTCCCTCCTCAAACCTGCCTCTGGGAATTTCTGACTTCCTTCAAGGCCTTGCTCAAGTGCCATCTTCTATAGAAGGCCTTTCCGGATTCTTCTCTCCATTATCCAATTAGCAATACTCCGTCTCTCCCCCTACCCACCCCCCACTTACTTTGCCTTTACTCCCCATTTTTTTTTTACTTGTCTACCTGCCAGTAGAATGTAAACTCCCTGATGGCAGGGACTGTTTCCATTTTGGTTTTTTTGGTTTTTTTTTTTTGTATCTCCAGTGCCTACTACAATGTTTGACACATAGTAGACCTCAATAAATGTTTGTTGAACTAAATTGAATTAATACATCAGAGCATTTTTTAAAGACCCCATCTTCTTCCTTTATTACTATTCTTTCTTGCCCTAGGTTGCTTTTCTAACATTCCTTTGTTCTGTGGTTTCTCACTCCCTTTGTTTTTCCCCCACCATTTATTCCCCGCCCCCTTTATTTCCTCAGTCTCCCATTTTTGCCCACAATTTTCATTTTTTGCCTTCTCCAGTTTTCTTTCTCAAGTTTCCATAACTCCTGTTAATCAAGGTTAAAGGTGAAACTCAGAATAAACTCTTCATTTCCAGTTTCTAGCCAGAGACTACTTGGAGAATGAGATTCTTTAAATCAATAAAGATTTGTCCCTTTGCTTAAGCATCAAGTTCCTGACATACTACTTTGTCTTAATTAAAGGGAAAAGGACGAACTATGCCTCGGGCCTTTAGAGGCTAATTGGGGTAGGAGGTATTGAGGAGTGATGAACTAGGTATCTTGAGCAGGCCCTGGATAGAGCTTGGCAAAGACCTCACATGAATGTGCTACCTGTAGACTGGTTTAGTTTTTGTGCATAAAGAACTAAAAACAAAAATAAACCAAAAAAACCCCCAAGAATGAATATATTCAGCTGTAAAACTCTAACTGGAGTGAGAGCAAATCAAATTTCTCAATAGGAATCATGTCAAAGTTCAGGTCAGCATTTTCTGGCTGATGTCTCATTCTGATGTGGAAAACTGGAGAAAACCTGAGATATCAAACTTGAAACTATCATATCTTTGACAGAATCTCTATAAAAGTGCCTGTTTTTAAGACCTAGGGGATTTTATTTAACACATCCTTTTGATCCTGAAAAATCTCAGTATTGGTGGCTAAGGACCACCTGCCACCCAGGTTACACACACACACACACACACACACACACACACACACACACACACACACACACACACCCCGGAATGTTTGTCAGTTAAGCAACCCCTGACAGCAAAACTCATTACAGTGTTTTCTTTGTGATTACTGGCATGTGTGTGCACGTTACCCTGTCTCTCTGGTTTGCCTGCCCACTCGGGCAAGCTTATCTGACTGGCGGGACTGGGAGGCAGCTTAACACTGGGGATCTGGCCCCTAAACCCAAAGGCTCACCGCAAGGCCTAAAGTTAGCTTTCTCTGATTTGGTGGCATCTCTTTAAGTGCATGTTCATGGTGCGTGTAGGAGATGAGATGGCTTTCATTTACGGTGCTGCTTGGAAGATGTAGTATTTTAAAGCCTGCTGGAATGCCCAAGAAATATCACTGGCGATTTTTT